TCAGCCATGTGGTTTTGTGCTACATGATGCAGCCATATCTTTGCAGCAATCATGCAAAGACCATTGTCGATCCAATCACAAAATCACGTTCTTTTATCAGGGAAAAAAAATCAACACAGGTCAGCTATAGTGCCATATTCGTTTGGCTTATAAGCCGTACTTTTTCAATCAACGAACATTATTTTTCTCTCACAACAAATCAGCCAACAATATTTTCAGCCATGGCTTATCAGCCAAGCGAACAGGACAATATCGAGTTGTCAGCAACATGAACCAAGTTGGCTGGGGCAACCATCCAAATTCTTTCTTCCCCACAGAATGGAGATGCATCCAAAAGGGTTTACAAGATAGGGCTGCTATTCTTCATTAGCTCATTATATATTTCACTTAACTCCATTAGCAGCCCATGGTATGCCTTTTGACAAGGAGGGCAGGGGTTCAGCAGCCCATGGACTTCTCTGTTCTTTCCCGGGCTTTGACTCCCATATATACCAACTAAAAGATCACATACTCAAATCAGTATTAAAAAAAATCACTAGTTCAACATCATCATTATCGATTCCTGCCTCTGAAAATGACCGCTAAGCAACCGATAAACATTTCAGCCTGTGTTAATCATGTCTCCTAAATTTGACAAATCATTTCCAGATCAGTGCTGACAACAACTAGACAATGCATGTTACGTGGACCCGCTTGACCATTAGTGTTACTATGCACAGCGACAAATTTTCAAGCAAATCCACCAAACTAGCTGACGACTGGGCATGTAGCACCAGTGCATTACTATGCCTATAGGGAGGAAAATTCAAGAAAGTACATCAAACCACTGATAAATGTTATTCAATGGCAATGTCATCCATAGAGTCGATATGTTCATGGTTCAAAGGACAACCTTTAGGGAGTTCTTACAAGACCGCATTATTCACAACACAAGAGTAGATGGTGTCTAGAAATTTCTTTCAGAAATAGCACTGATCAGTTTCTAAAGCCTCTCAGCGAACAATAACCAGGCAGGGAAGATTTCATGGCATAAGCATAAGATTACTTCCCATGACTGATAAACCAAGAGGAGGATATGTACAGTTAAGAGGATTGTTATCCCATGACTGATAAACCAAGAGGATTGTTACATCGAGCTTTAGTCATAGTTCTGCCTCTGCTTTGTTCCTGCTCTAGGCTTAGACCATCCTTTGTCAGTGCTTCCTGTGCTTCTGACCTGTGGGGTCCAAGCTGCCATTCAACCCTTAATGCCTCATGAGCCGGGCATATTCTTCCTCCAGTCCCCAGAACCAATCTCTTTGAGCCTTACTGACAAATAGGTGCCAAAATTAGAAAGTTCGAAAGGACAAAATCAGTGGATATTTACTGAGTTCAAAGCTGGTCTCTTTGGTACAGCTCATGTATCCATTTCAGAGGTTGTGTACAAATCTAAGTATGTTTCCACTTCATATATGGACAAACTCAAACTTGGAGCACCTGGCAATGCATAATGTCTGTCTTCAGATTACGACCTGTGATGGTTGACCATAGGTTTGCCATGAAAGACCTGTGCTGGCCCTTTCGAGCAAAAGCCTCCCACATGCGCGCACTGTCAACCTCAGTTACTGTTGTTGGGTCTGATATATCAATAATAGTGATACTCATATTGTTACGGATGATGCATAGTTTTCCATTAAGGGAGACAAAGGCTGCGGCTTCAAGAGACCGTGAGCTTCCCATATGGTGTTTGGTGTCAATGAACCTTGTCCATGATCCCATCTCTCTATTATAAACTCGAAGCTTACAGCCATCACGACAATCAGCAGAATAAAGACGGCCATTGAGGGAAATGCTTGGATTCCGCCAGCCCGTGACCATTTCATTACTGGTGGCTGACCACATTTTAGATGCTGGAAGATAGACCTCACTCACAACCTGGCGATGAGAATTGAGACCTTTTAGGAACCACTTGCCATCATGTACTACTCCAGTGGAGGGCACCATTCCTGTGCTCATTTCAGCAATGCTAGACCATCTATTCCTGTTCGGATCATATACCTCAGCAGACCTTAGAGTTCTCTGTATCCCTACACACTCCCCACCAGCAACATAAAGACAGTTGTTTATGACACAAGAACCAAAGAAGTGCCGTTTTTGCAGCATATCTGGTGCTCGAAGCCATTTGTTTATCCGAGCATTGTAAAATACAACACGCCTCATAGACCCATGTACTGGGTCTTTGCCACCAAATAAGTAAAGATAGCATCCGTTGAGAACAGCACTACCAAAGCCAACAGCTTCAGAATACTCTGGTGGAACTGGAGGCAATGACTTCCAGAGCTGGTTTACAGGATCAAAGGCATACCAAGATAGCTTCTGATCATGGTCCCTTTTGAAGACGTAAATCCATTCTTCTGCCATGCCGAATTTCTTACGCAAGGAGTAATAATAATTTCCAGACAAAAGTCGGTTCCATCGTTTACAGACTAACCGCATATTTGGGTGCTCGACCCGAGCAGCCCGCATGAGACAGGAAATAGCCAATTCATCAGGAAGCCCAGGCAGCAGTGGTGATTGAGTTTGGGACCTCTCCTTGCGTGAGCTCCTTGACTTGCGCTTGTTTGGTATGATATCAGGTTGCATGCACAGCTTTGCACCAGGGACAAACTTCCTAGCACTCACAACGGTTTTAAGACCACCATCTACCCTGCAGTAGCAGGAGACAGACTCTACCTGCAGAAACATTGATCAATAAAGTTAGAATGCTTATATTGATCTGAACGTGAAAAAAGGAGATTAAAACAAAGCAACCATACTTTTAGCTGGGTATGAAACTAATGATTTTTTGGTCCACCTACTAGTAAAATATTATGCAGATGAGATTCAGACAGTTAGTGCTGACTAACCACGTTTGAAACTATCTATGTTGAGAGTTTCAACATACAAAATTGAGAGAACAGATCATTCAGCAGTCAAATATTCCTACTTCCTAGGCACATAACATTTTCAGGTGAAAACAGATGGCTGTGCTAAGTGGTGTTCACATATTGATATCAAATTTCAATGTATGAAATTAACTGCAAATTACAAAAATAGCAAATTCTAGAAACATCTCTATGAAAGAGGGGTGATCTAATCACCTCCATGACAATTGACAAGTTTGAACCCAAACTCCAGAAAGAAACCCTGAGGACCAAGATCCAAACTCAAATCACAGAAAATCAACAGCTACAAGCAAAATGCTAGATTGAGTGGAAGATTATAACTCTGAGTCAAGGGTACGACCTTCTGAAACAATAACCCTGACTACAAACCTAAAAACATCACATTGAGGAAAAATAAGAGCAATGCTTGAGGCTAGTGAAGTAGAGATGCAAGCAAATCTCAATAATGATTGAAGGACATCGAGTTCCGCTGGTGAATGCCTTTTCATCTGTGCGCTAAGTCAATCTCAAGATTGAGTAAAATCGAAAGGAATCACAATAACTTTGACTAAAAAAAACAGAGATCTCCCCTTGGCCTTCTCTTGCTAGTTGCTAGCAGAAACCAAAAATAGATACAGGAGATATAGGGCTTATATCCTCCTGCATCCGTGATTAGAGATCTTTGTTTGGATAGGAGTGCTTGGAAAGCAGCTATTGACGTGCTTGAACCGTGACTAGGGGCTCATGTTGGGTTTCAACTCTAGCCTACCTCAACTTGCTTGGGACTAAAAGGCTTTGTTGTTGTTGTTGTTGTTGTAATCTATATCTATTATCATTTAATGCATGAACATTTGGGTGCTTTACTCTAGAGTTTTCAAAAGATATGCAAAAAGGTTAAGAGGATCAATAGTGCAACTAAGTACCAACAATTTTTACCAACATCAAGGCTACTGGAATTCCAGACACCTAATAATATCCATTTTGATGCAATGATGCCCCTTATGTTTCCATCAACAGTTATGCATATGTGTGCTAACTATGTACTAGCATTGCTATATTAGGGATTTAGGGTTACCAGTTAAGGTAATGTTGCTAAATAAGGTGTTTAACTGCTTATACATAATATAATGCTGTAATGATTAGCCATTCTATAATTTCAATCATATATGAAATGTATTTTGTTATCATTTATTACTCATTCCATATGATTGACATATTCTTTGATAGTATGTCTTCTGTCTGTGGCTCATGAACAGTCTAGAGTATAGGCAGGGCAATGAGACTATCTTAGCTAGTAGCTAGAATTTTTCTAAGGTCAGTCCATTGTTACTAAACTGAGGATGACTTCGTGGCAAGTGGGGCCAATAATAAAAATGCAGTAGATTTCTGGTGATACTCATTCCCTGTAACATTGTTCCTCGCTAACAAGAAAGTGGCATATCCACACCACAGCTAACATTACTCAAGGCAAAAACAGCTAGCAAACTAACCCCTAGAAGACTACTAGTACTACGCCAGAAAATATTACCAAACACTCCATGGACAACTGGATCTAGACTCCAAAACCAAGCCCTAGGGACCCGGATCGAGACATCCGAGTTCCAACCATCCTCAAAGCCCGCAATCCTCCAAGCCTTACGCACGAAAACGCCAGATTCAAGAAGAAAGGTCTCTGCCTCAAGCGAAAGGTGGCGCCTTTGGCACAGGAACCACCATCTCTGAGCTAACCTGCATCTCTCGCAGCTAGGAGGTGCGCTTGCTACTCGAGGCCAAGAAAGGTAGGCATGGAGCTGAGCTCACCAGTGGGGCGCGGACGCGGATGCCCCCCGCACGCCGCTGCGGGGCACCTCCGGCGGCTGCACGCATTGCCGGATCGAGAAGAGTGGACAAGGAACACCCTTGATCTTGGCCCTCCTCTCCAGTCTCCACAAAGGCTTCCCCCTCTTGAACCAAAACCCAACGAGCAAAGAGGAGCACAGGAGGCTCCCCTTCAAACGAGCAGTAGCTTTGACTGGAAAATCACGGTCTCAGATGCATTCTCCCCAGATCAGGCGACTAGGGATTGGTTCGCAATCGCAAGCTCAATTTGGTCGGCAGATGAACTTCACCTCCGACTCGTGGGCCCGTTACCGGAGTCCTCCTGGCACTAGATGTGACTGGAAGATGGGCCCCTTGCAAGCTGGGACCAACGAGCCAGTGAACCATCCCACCTCTACACGCCGCAACGGCCTGACAGATGGGTCCCTGTGGGCCGTGAGTGAGCTTCCTCTTTCGGTCCTCGCTCCACGTTGCCTGACGCCCACAATGTTCTGAACTACTGACAGAATGGACCCACACACCGACCAACCTGTCAGCCACGGACAAGTAGTCGTTTCCCAGCCACTTGCCACAGCGCACGCGGCATGGAGCGAGCGGGCCCATGTGTGGAGCAGGGAGGCCCACCTGGCAGGCGGGCTTCCCGACCAATCTCTCCAGTCTCTCTCTCGGCTCTGCCCCTCCTCCCCGATTTCCTTCCCCACTCTGTCAGTCTCACTCCCCGCGCGCGCGCGCGCGCTCTCCCTCCCTCTCTCCTCGCCTCGCCGCCGGCGACGAGCTCGAGCTCGAGCTGGTTCCTCGTATAGAAGACGGCCGCCGCGGTATGGAGCCCATGAACGTAGACAACGGCGGCTGCGGCGGCCTGGACGCGCAGATCGAGCAGCTGATGCAGTGTCGCCCGCTCGCCGAGCAGGAGGTGAGATCCAGCCCAGCTATGCGGCTATGCCCCCGTTCCATTCGGGTTTACGTTTCGCTGGTTTCCTATTTCGCGGCGTGATCTGGCGAATGCAGATTCCTTTGATCTGTTGCAAGGGCGCGCCTAGGGTTTCTCGCCTTCCCTTTGGTGCAATGTTTGGGTTGGAAGTGTGATCCGGTGTTCCGGTGATTTTTGGGGATATTTGAACCTCTTTTGGTGTCTGGTGGTTCGGTGGCATAGAGGGATGATTTGGTGTGTAGCTTGTGGCTAGAGAGTGCAGCTTCGAATCAATCCGATGCTGTGATTCAGATTTGGTTCGTGTTAATAGATCTCCTTTTATTTTCGCAGAAAAGTAGCACAAAAATGGAAAGCTGTATCTGTTGAAATCTTCCAAATTAATCAGACCAAGCAATAGTGACCATAAAAAAGTGCATATTTAGGGTATGATGGTACATGTACTTATTTGGGCTGATATATGTATGGTTGCATGCTATGAGTCCGCTTGACCAAAAGCAGGAATACTTGGTGCATAGATGTGCAGGACTGCAGGTTGATATTCTAACATTCTTGGAAACGGCATAATGGGTCCTACATGTTTCAGGTTAAGGCACTGTGCGAGAAGGCCAAGGAGATATTGATGGAGGAAAGCAACGTTCAGGTACGGTATGCTGGCAGTTTACCTCTCACTGTTGTGCTGGGTATCTTTCACAGTTTCACTATAGGTGTAGGAGGGTACCTATATTGCTTGTTCTAAAGGCTGTTGAACTATGTTGTATAATGTTTGCCGTTGCACCGTATGAACAACATTGTTTATTGTGATGCTCCATTTTGGCTGGCCCTTATTGTGGTCCTATGTATCAATGCTGTTATAATTAAGGAGTTGGACATTGGATCTTTCAGCCTCGTTGCTTTTGGGACAGTTTCAGTGCTTTCATTTTGATCTTGTTCCTTGTAGAATGTAACACTAACAATTGGATAAACACTGTAAGTTAAGGTTTTCCGCCTGTTTCATGCCATTTCATTCTGCTCAATCATTGGCTTATTAAACAGAGATTTACTAGAATAGCTACCTGGTCATGCATCCATATAATGGCATGATGTGAAGGTTTCCTAGATGTATTTGCGATTTAATGTGTTCTGTATTTTGGTGAGGTTACAGGTATTTGCTTCTAAGCTTCTGTAACTTTTGCATGCAGCCTGTCAAGAGTCCAGTGACAATATGTGGTGATATACATGGACAATTCCATGATCTTGTAGAGCTTTTCCGAATTGGCGGGAAGGTACCAACTATGTTGGCTCAACTTTGCTTCTTCATTCCCTGGAAATAGTTTCTACCCAAGATTGAAGCCATTGTTTCCATTTTCTAATCCCTGTCTGTTTTATTGTCTCCTGTTTCCAGTGTCCAGACACCAATTACTTATTTATGGGGGATTATGTAGATCGTGGCTACTATTCTGTTGAGACTGTCACTGTAAGAAACTTAACTACTACTTATTTTCTTTGTCAAGTTAGTTTTTCTGTTGCTTTGCAGAATTGTCTTGTTATACATGTAATTTTTGCTGGAAAAGGAAATCTGATTTATGAAGTTATGCTTTAACATATTTCTTATGGTCTTAATTTCATTTCATATTATCAGTAAGCAGTATATACTTACATTGTGTTCCTTCTCCAGCTGCTAGTAGCACTAAAAGTGAGGTACCCACATCGAATTACGATCCTTCGTGGAAACCACGAGAGTCGACAGGTACAATCAAATATTATTTTCTTGATGCTTACGACATGTTGCTTTCTGGCTCCTGTTACCTTGATTTAATCTGAGATCAGAGAAAATTACTCTAGCTGTTGATATGTGAATATAATTTTCCTGTTCAGAATTTGCTTTGTTACAATTTAGATCCATTCCCGTATAATTTTCCTTTTCAGATTTTGCTTTGTTTATTATTTAGGGCCTGTTTGGGACTGCTCCACCAACTCTGCTCCACAAATTCCACCGTGGAGGAGCTCCAAAAAAAATCCTGGAGTTTCTAGAGCACCCCTTTAGGTGCTTTCTCAACTCCACCTTTTTCCTGGAGCAGAGTTGTGGAGCTGCACTTGTTTTGCCCAAAAATGTGGAGCGAAGCAGTCCCAAACAGGCCCTTAGATGCCATCCCTATTAATGATTTTTTTTGTGTGTTTTCTGGTTCAAACTGAAACTCTTATTTTATGATGTTTGCAGATCACACAGGTGTATGGATTCTATGACGAATGCCTGACGAAAGTGAGTTTGCTTAGGTGCTTAAAGTTCAACTTACATTTCCAGGCATAACATGTTTGCTTTATCATTACCTGTGTGAGAAGATCTATGTTTAATCTTTTTTCTTAATCACAGTTGTATGTTAGCTTCAGATTTATTTTAGTAGTCATTGCAATTCTTCTCACATACACAAAATCTCTTTGGCATCTTGTGCCTTTTTCATTGCTGCGTTAATAGACTTCTTTGGACTGCTAGAGTTTTTTTTTTTTCATTGTGTATGTATAGCTTTCATCTGATGGCGCACCATCACTATGCTTAGGAGCTGGTATGAAAGTTGAACGATCATATTGTTTGTTATCTTATATAAACTCATTGATTCGTGTAAGTTGATTGTAAGAATAATTTTTCCCACAAGTCAGCATAATCCTAGCTTCTTGTCATTTCTGTTGCTAACTACTTCATTTTAAACCAGGTATGGCAATGCAAATGTTTGGAAGACATTTACGGATCTTTTTGATTATTTTCCTCTGACAGCTCTGGTGTGTACTCTTAAGACTGGAATTACCTTTTTTTAGTTTTATCTAGAGCGCCGCTTCTATGCATCATCTTCTCGATACACAGCATGCAAATCTTAAAACACTAAAATAACGTAGTAGCTAGAACCACAAATAGCTTAGTAGCTAGAATCTGATCGTTCTATTTTTGCTTCACCAATTTCAGATTCTTTAGGCAGCAGTATATTTATGGGTTATGACTTATGACCAACTTCTTTTAAGCCATTAGAGCATGTTAGAAACTGAGAACCATAGAGTCTGTATTCTGTTTTCGGATGTTCCAATTATGTGGAACACCCTGTTGAACATGAGTTGTCTTCATTTGTTTGTGAATTCCAGCAGTTTAGAATCAAATTGTTGTGATATGGTGGCAACTATGCTTTGCTATGTTGCTTCTCACTTTCTCACTTTGTTTTTTATACTTGCTGTGTTGTTGAGTCAGTAATCTTTGTTGTGTTGTGGCTGACTGTTCTATGGAGCAGAGGCTGGCGAATTGTGATGTTGTGGTCTGTCTCCATCGTGAATATGTTGCCCTCTCTGTAAATCTTTAGTTATCAAATTGTATGAATTAATTGTTCAAACATTCGAAATGATGATAAATCATTAAATCCTGATCATGCATTCAAGAATTATGTTGTTTGTTCTGTCTCTACCACCCTAGTACTATACCATAAAGTAGCTATATCCCTTGTGTTTTCTCAACATGGACTCTACTGATACAGTATTTATGTTCTTCTTGAAGGTGGAATCTGAGATTTTCTGCCTTCATGGTGGTTTATCTCCATCAATTGAAAATCTTGATAGTGTGCGCAGCTTAGATCGAGTCCAAGAGGTTCCTCATGAGGGACCTATGTGCGATCTTTTATGGTCAGATCCAGACGATCGATGTGGTTGGGGCATATCCCCTCGTGGTGCTGGCTACACTTTTGGCCAGGTACTACACATCTGTTTTCATGTTACCTCTTTTATACCTTTTTAATTTGAAGTTATTAATTTATTCCTTTGTTTCTCCAGGACATATCGGAGCAGTTTAATCACACGAACAATCTCAAACTTGTAGCTCGGGCTCATCAATTAGTTATGGAGGGATATAACTGGGCTCATGTAAGCTGATTTGACCTTTAGATGCTTAATTTGCTGAGTGTTGAGTGAAGTGATCTTTCTGATCATGCATGATGCATGTATTTACAGGAACAAAAGGTTGTCACCATATTCAGTGCTCCAAACTATTGCTATCGATGCGGCAATATGGCATCCATTTTGGAAGTTGACGACTGCAACAGTCACACATTCATCCAGGTAATTTTACCACATCATTCTGCTACTTTTCCATTTTATTTGGCTCATTTTTGTAGCATCACCCTGATATGAATGTACTATCTATTGTGGCATGTAGATGTTTTTTTTCCTGAAAAGGCATCCATATTTTTTTTCTCCCCAAATAGACTTCTTATCATCTTATGATGTGTGTCTAAACTGCTGCATACAATTTACCAATTTTGTTTTCCTATTATCATAGTTTGAACCAGCCCCTAGGAGAGGTGAGCCAGATGTGACGCGAAGAACACCGGATTATTTCCTTTGAGCTGGATGTTACCATTCCCCAGCTTATGCCGTGATAATCGATGTCAACATCTGCTGGATCAAGGGCCAGAAAGAAATAACTGGTGAATATCAAAGCACTATGCAAAACTTGAGGTCCCCATTGCCATTGGTCAGTGCAAGAGATGCTGCAATCCTGAGACACAGCAATTGTGCCAAACCACGCCCGAGTTTCAGCCTTTTCAGGTGATATATCGAAGGGCGGCCATCCACTTACAGTTCTTGCCGCCCTCCCTTTTATGCACTTTTTACAGAGGCGTGGAATTGGCAAAAAAGACTGTACTTCCATTTGTACTTGTGTAGCGTAAGCTTGTACCAATAGGCGTGTACTAATTTGTATCATCATTCATCAATGGCAAGGCACTGTTAAACGCCTTTTCATCAGTAAATTAAGTTTTGGTAAAGAATGGCTTACAGTGTTAGGAATGGTACTAGCAGACGGCACGATGTTCAGATTGCTAAAGTGTTTTGTGTGAGTGATATGTGCATGAGTGCATCCTTGATGAATTTCGGTCACTGATAATCACAGCCTTCATTTTTGTTTTTGACTACACGAGAGTACAAGAATCAACAGCTCAACACGGAGGAGAAATGAACAATCTCGTATATCTATCGGTAATGCGATGCAAGCATGGTGTGCTCAAGTCAACCTTAGATTGCTGCTACATACTGTGGAAATGGAGCGGCAAGATTGGTCGTCGTCGGTCATCGGCCGTGGTGTGGTGGCGGCAACGGCATGGCATATAGCAACAGCAACAGTCTGGGCCTGGCAGATACTGTACACGGCCGCCGTCGCGTGTCCCTTTTGCCGGCCGGCCGGCCGGCCGGCCGACGGTCACACTCACACGGAGGTGCTGGCGAGCAGCTGGTTGGCGGCGACGCCCCTGCCCTTCGTGACGTGCTTGCGGAGGCCCGGGATGTGGACGTTGGTGATGTAGTCCCTCCAGTCGACGCTCCGGACGTCGAAGTGGAACCGCGCCCTCTCCGCCGGCGACATGGCCGCGAACAGCGCCTCCGTGTTGCCGTTGTCGAAGCGGCCGCCGTAGAAGGTGTAGGGCTGGTAGATGCTGCCCAGGTGGACGGTCTGCTCCACGGACCTGGCGCACAGGTCGCGCGCACGCTGCGCCACCGCCGGTGACGAGGACGAGGACGCCCGGATGCTCCGCAGCAGCGCGTCCGTCTCCACGTAGCTGGCGAACTGCTCCATGGTGTCGAACAGGCGCATGGGCGGCACCAGGATGGGCTGCCCCGCCGCGTCGCTGTAGGGGCACCGCGTGAAGTGGTGGAACAGGAACCGGCTCAGGTCGCCGAACACCAGCGGGTTCACCGTCGACGACGACACGTGGTACACGTGCATCCCGGGCCCCGCCGCGCCGCCAACGTGCTTCGCCATCGACGCCAGCGTCGCGTTCACCACCATGTCCGCCGGTACCTGGCTTGGCAGATGGACATTACCGACAGATATTGCATGGTCCATTACGTGTTGAACGTTTACACAACTCATCAGCAGCTAGCAGCTTATTATTACCACATCAAGAACACCATCTGGGTCGGCGAGGAACCCGCTCAGCTGGCCTTTCCCGTAGTAGAGGATCACAGGATCCATCATCCTGTATTCATCGACAATTTTGCCGATGGCAAGAGAGATCACTATCATTACCTTGAAGATACATACATCTCTGAAGGTTTGGTCACTGAAGATACACATGTATATACTGGTACCTGTTCCCTTCCATCCAGCCCGGGAATGGGTCCCTCCAGGTGCTCTCGATGACACTGGGCCTGATGGTGACCACCGGTATCTCTCCTCGCATGGAGTTGATGACCATCTCTCCCATGGCCTTGGTGAACACATAGGTGTCTTGCCACCCATGGAGTTTTGCCCTACCAATGCAATTTGCAATCACAACCCAAATTAAACATCGCCTTACGAAGCTAAACTTCATTCTACTTCGTTTGCTGCAGTTGCATTATACTAGTGTATAGTAGGTGTCTCATTTAATTATTTACCTCTCTAGGCCCAAATCTTTCATTTCTTGAGCAAACGAGGGAGAATTATCGAGGTGTCTTCTGGAGTAAAATGCCAGCTTGATCTCTGCCTCGATGTCCAGCACGGGGATCTTATACCCTTCAGAAGAACCTGATGACGAGGACCCCAGCTCCTTGGCTATGGTGTCTCCCATGCGAAACGGCTTCTCCAGCACCAGGCCTTGCCTCTGCCCATTCACATAGGCTGCTCACCGAAGACAAACAATCCAAGCAAAGTGCTGAGAGAGCTTTATTTGGGGAGTGGAAAACACAAGCTCCAGTTTGAAGACCTACCTGTAGACACTTGCAAGAAGAGCTTGAGCCGTCGGAACCGCTGCGCGAAGCTCATGATCCGGAACGGCCCCACGGTGTTGATGTCCATGGCGACATCGTACCTGCGACCAGCAATCGAAAGTGGATGGTCATGGCGATGGATCACTGAAGAAGGAACAAGCAGTTTTGGAGCAATATATGCTGTATATAGCATCGATCACGAACCGCTCGTCGAACGTGGTGTTGGCCGCCGAGTTGATGATGACGTCCACTTGGTCGGCGATCTCGTCGGCGATCTCGGGCTCAATGCCGACGTTGGCTTCCCTGACGTCGCCGACGACGGGGACCAGCTTTGTTGCGATGAAGCTGTCGTAGCCTTCCCCGTGGATCTCCTGCAGACATTTGAACAGCTCCGTGTCTACGACCTGCAGACACACACGTATGGATGAACAACGCGCGAATGGGGCACTAGTATAGTATGAAGAAAGAAAGAAGAAGTGTATATAGCAAATGAACGCCATGCACACACTGACACACACCTCATTTTGCAATCTCCTCAACGCAGCTTCGCCGTCCTTGGCCTTGATGAGCACGTATATCTTGCCGACGTCAGGATTTGTTCTCAAGATCTTCTCTATAAGAACTGTCGCAGAACAGCACAGGACTTCTAGGATTATTTGGGGTTTTATCCAAAGCACACAGAGGGGGGGAAAATACAAAACGAAGCACGTATCACCTTTTGCCAGGAAACCGGTTCCGCCGGTGATGAGGAAGTTCTTGGCGCCGAGAAACTCGGCAACACCAATCCCGCCGGCGGCCCCTGCCGGATCGCCACCACCGAGCCCGTCGTGCGCCGGGAAGGACGACGACGACGGCCTTGACGATGAGCCAGCAGCAGTAGTGGAGGACGACGACGAGCAGCACGCCACCACCGCGCCACTGCTGCCGTGCCGCCGCCCCGACGACAGCAACGGAAGAAGGAGGCCACGGCGTCGGCTTCCTCCCTTGGCGCCGAAGCCGGGGAGGACGGCGCGGGAGAGGTTCACGCATGAACTCCCCATGGCCCGCGCGCGCGCAGCCGCCAAAGAAATGCAGGTGCGTGCTTGGTGGTGCCAAAGGGTAAACAAACGCAAGCTCTCTCTCTCGCGCGCGCGCCCCGCCGTTGCGGTTGCAGCAGGGTAGTAGGTGGGTGGGTGTTAAGATGAAGATGCTACTTCCTGCCTGCTAACAATGTAATTAACAAGCGTGCCAAAATCACCTGGGCGCAAGCGCAACGAGACGATGAGGCCAAGCCGAGCCAGTGACCTGCAAAGCCTGAGAAACGGAGTGGGGGAGCACGCAGGTTTTGGGCTGCCAACAACGGAGTGGGGGAGCACGTAGACGCAGGTTTTAATAAGTAAGCTCGTGGGCGCGGCGAGCAAACATGTCCTCGCAGGCCATCTTTCTGCCGCCGTGGGGAGAAGCAATTTATAATAACGCCGCGCGCATGAGGGGAGGGCAACGCGGCGCCAGCTCCGTCGATCTTTGCCTTGCCTGAGGGAGTGAGGGGAGACGGGGATACGAAACGAAAAGGGAGCCCGGCCGATGGTGTGCGGCGTTGGCAAGACATGCAAAGCGCGTGCGTGCGCTTCTTGGAAGTCTCCGGGCATGGCCTCATGGGTGCGGGTGGGGTAGCGCTTGCGTACACAACACGAGCTGGATCAGTGGGGAATGTGGCCTTGCTACTTGCTAGCAGTAGGCATGCGCACTTGATCCACTGCTCTTGTCTACGACTCCACCGTTCCTAGAAACAATGCTAATTTTGCACATTACAAACCTGTATAAGCAGTTCTTGAACGAGTTTTAAATAAAAGGGTTAAAATAAAAAAAAATCATACATTGTTCTTTATAAACAATGGCTCTAACAATATCGGTAATGCTTTGCTACGGACGTCAGTCCCATCCGGACGCTGCACCTCACTCCGCTCGATGCTGTGGCCTTCTTGCACTGCGCGCCCGAGCTGCTCGCTCGCTTGCTCCTCGCAGTGGCGGACCCAGGATTTGAAAGTTGGGTATGCCCAAACCAAAAATAATGTTTAGTTGAAATATACAAAAAAGTTTGCAAGAGCATAATTAAAATATACATATAGTTCAAACTAAAGGTATTCCATACTCAGTCTCTGTTTCTCTTGCATTTGGATTATGACTTGTCATTGGTTGCTACCTCTACCTGATGCTTAATAGAAAGGGTGCTTTGAACTTGAACATTACTCTGAATGCTAATCGAATGTGGTCTTGTGGGCGTGGAATCTACCCTGCGTGTCTTTGCAACCCTGTTTGTTTTGCTGAAAATTCAGGCTGAAAAATAATCTTCGCTAATTTGTTGTGAAAAAAAATAATATACCATGACTGATAAAACAGGATGATAAGTTCAAGCGAACAGGACCGATTCATTTTTAAAAGAATTGCTACTACCCCTACACCGAAACAAAAGCATCTATGATTTTTTAAATTGACATTTGACAAAACTGAGGGATGGGCCGGTGGGGGTCTGGGGGATGGGCGGTGTGCCCGTGTTTCATTGTTGGAATGAATATAAGATGAAGACAACAATAATTTTGAAGCTTCACTATATATGTGTATAGATTTGCTAACTATTAAACTTTTTTCCAAAAATGTTGGGTATGCCTGGACACCCAAGCATCCGCCCCTGCGCCTCCTCGCTCCTCTCTCCCGCCCGTCGCATGCCCCACCTGCATCTCGCTCCACTACAAGAAATCTATGACAATTAGATTATGATGATAACAGCTTGTTTTCTGTCGCTGCCTGCCGGCACAGTGTCGTCACAAAAGGTGGGTCACTAACCAGCTTCTGTGACCACTAGAGGACTTTGTCATTAATACAATGACA